ATGACATCATGGTTATATGCATATATATATACATATAACATATATATATATATAGTTAATATATTATATATATATTATACTGGTAATATATACTATATACTATATGTGTATGTATGTGCTGTGTGTGTTTGTTGTGTGCTGTGTGTGTGTGTGTGTATAATATGTATTTATGTAATTATTATAACAATATATATAATATAATATATTATATATATTATATATATATATTATATGTATAATATATATAATTAGTCATATAATACCATTAACATGAGTCATATTATTTAACATGATAAACTTGATTAAATTATATTCTTTTTTTTTAAATAATATACCAAAATACTATAATATGTTATATATATAATTGTATATGTATATGTATATGTATATGTAATATACATATACATATACATACATATATACATACATTATACTATACATATACATATACAATATATACATATATAACATATATATATATATATTATATATATCTATATATATATATATATATATATATATATATATATATATATATATATTAATGGTTGTGTGTGCATGTGTATGTACCTACTACATTTTTTCTGACTCTGGCTATTATCTTCATTTATATCACCCAAGAATAATCTTTATACATACAAGTATATATTACCTGGTATTTTTCCCAAGAACTAGTTTGGTTTTACTCAAATGATATTTTTTGTCAACAAGTATAAGTTACAATTATCTAAAAAAAAAATATATATATATATATATATATATGATTAGTTATCAAAACTTTTGAGAAAATTATCTTAACCAACAATGCTTCTAGCGGGTGTAAGTACTTGTGAATTCATTCTATCTAACACCTGTCTCTTTTCTTTGTTTAGCACTTAACTAGGATTAGAGACAAAAAGAAAAACTAAATTTGCAATGACAGCAAAGGATAAAATTGACCAAAGTATACTAAAGCCTGCAATAAATAAAGTTGGTAGAGTATCTATTTACAGTGGAGGTATAGATACGATAATGTCTGTATGAACCAAATGTATTGTTCTTTTTTTTAAAGAACCCCTTTCCATAGGATTAAAATCTATATGTAGATGATTAGGTCTAACTTTAGCTGGTGAATAATGAAAACAAAAATGGCCATAAAACATTTGGCAATGTTCTCCCCATTAAAAAGTATGTATAAATAAATTCTATATAATTAACATAAACCAGTTTCGAACCACTGAACTAAGAATGTTTACATAATTCTAAAAAAAATCCTTAAATTCTAAAACCATCAATCACCTCTGTTAGCATGTCAAGTCCCAACACAAAAGAACTTAGTACCTTCTAAATCTTTAATTAGAAAGGTCTGTGCCCTCTGGACTTCTCTGAAGCTAAGTACAGTGACCTACTTGCTAACTGACTCTCTATTCACAACCTTTACTTCACATCTCTCAGGTATCAGGAACTGAAGATAAACATTAAACAAGATTTTATGTGCTGGTCTATTAAAAATACTGGTTCAACCGCAATAGAAATAATAGTTTTAAAACAAAGCAATATTTCCTCGTGACTTTCCTATCTCCTACACAAATGTCACAGCTTTTAACTAGAAGCCAAAAAACATCTTGAACTGTAACATGTCGTCAAAGTAAAGCACTTGATCACTTGATCAACCTAAAAAGCACAGAGACGTTTTTTTTCTCTGTACGAAGACAAATTTCATCGACCCGTGTTATCAAGTTGACAGAGTCAATATATCATTAGCAATTCACGTTCAACCTTTTTTTCGAGAAACACAATGCATACAGAAAAGGAAAATATCCCTCCCTCCCCATGTAACATATCACCCAATAACCTATGCTATAAGAACATACAAACAAACACGCATTAAAAAACGAAAAGAACATCATTTCCAAACACGTCCCCCTCCCGCATGACAAAGAACACCTGAGTCTGAGAGAGAGAACACCCCGAGTCACTCACCAGAAGAGAACGTTCACTCCCACCACAGCCAGGGCGCTCGTCCCAGGACTCTCCCAGATCAGAATGGACTGCACAGTCACCATATAAGCTTCCCATGGCCCTAGAGCCCTTGCTATCTTCCTCGTCTCCGTCTTCCTGCCCCACTGCGAGGAAGAACTGTCAGTGTTCTCACTCCTAAACGGCCACAGCCTTAACAGGGCGTTCCTCCAAGAGGCCATGACTAACTCTTTACACTCGCAGACACACACTGAGCTGCGCAGATCAACCACGGGGAGAAAAAGGGGAGGAATAGGTTGGCCAGCGCTATTTATCCGTGTATTAATTCACCTCTTTGAGGGGATACCATGTGCAAGGGGACTCGTAGAACGGTTATGTGGATTGATGGTATGCGTGTGCAATGATTAAAAAGGGGATTCAGATATGGTTTATTAAAACGGGTTGGATAATACACGGCGTGGCACCTTTCCCTTGACGCAACATTGGCTCATGGATTCACTCATTATTTTTCGGGATTTGCAATAAGGCTCTGATTTTGTCA